CTGTACCGTGCTCTTGTCTGAGTAGACGCTTTGTCTGGCCGACTTGTCTTCTTACTGTCTCTCTACTACGGGCTCTTGTGGTACCGGGTCGTGCTGATTAGAAGTACCAAGGCGGGTCATAACAATTTCATCGTTCACCACAATGTCGACACTTCATTTGGTCGGTGTCTAGGGGGAAAGCTGTATCGCCGGCGCCAAGCCCGCAAAGCGCCAATTGACTTGGCTACTCTACCTCCTTCTGGGCCAGCCAATCACAGGTGCCGTAGACTGTTTTTGGCCAAGCAGTTGACCAAGCAGTCAGTGACCCACTCTTGCATGACGTTTACGCATTCATTCACGCCCACAGCACACTAACAGACAGACGTGCGCATGTGCGGGGCCCGGGGCCTGCCGCGCGTCGGGGTTTCAGACCACTACTGAGTTCCTGTACACAATAAACAACCTTTACTGGTCTTACCCCTTTTTCTTCCTGTACAGAACTGGGAGCGATAATTGTAGTGTTCTGAGCACTCTCACGGTTTAGCTCCTACACACTGACCGATACTTATATTTACCTAAAAACTGCGTTTTATATGCGGGGCAACTGTGGCTTTTCATAATGTTAGCATATATAAACGTAAATTAGTCAACACCTAACACTGTTATCAGCTGATAACCTAGACATGCAAGTATTCGAAAAGCCGCAGTTGTGATTGCTAGGATAAGGATTTGACTCAACTGACGTTTCGAGATCCATCGCGGGTCCATCATCAGAGATATTAGCAGAAACGGGTAATATATATACGGAGATTTGCAGTTCGGAATGACGTAAACTAGACATAGGGGGCATTTAGAAGCCAACAGACAGGTGTGCACCTATCCTTGAATGAACGTAAACCAGTTGCTCGTCACTGGAAATCCCTGTTCAAAATTTTTAAGCAGACCCAATCAACTTTAAAAAAAGGGAACCAACTGACGTAACACGGAGGTTATCATCACGCTGAATAAAAACGAGCAAGAAAACTTTTTCGAGGCTTGGTACTCAAACGCGACCAGTAATCATCGCTATGTTGACCATGACGCCTATTAGGAAGGCCTACGTTGGCGGTTTACTGACCTAAATCACCGACTTATAATCTAGACTCGAGTTTTTTTCACTATTGGTTCAACTCAACATCAGTTTCAATTGCTCCAAAAGCTGCCCTCTACCGCACGAAGTTATTAGCCAATCATACGCAACACCAGGTGGTGCGGCACCGAGGCTCGAGGGAGCCTCAGGACGCTACAGTAAAATTAATTCGCATAATTCATGGCTGCGCGCACATCAAGCTTTGGTTTGGGGCGTACATATATCCTAGTTCCATCCTAGAAGCAGCAAAGCTACTGGCCCATATAATTAGTATAGGACATCGTTAGAAACTAGAGCCTTAAATATTCTCTCGGAGTTCTTTGCACTTTGAGCACACCTGACATAACTCCAAAAGTTCCCGTTCTCGCGGTTTGTTTTGCACACCAGGAAAGGGGTTCGTGGCAGGGTTGTGTTGGGAGGAGTGACGGAGGGTTGCACTTCAAGTCAAAACAGCTCCACACTCTGCAAAAAGACACCCGCCCCCGAGAAAGTACGCCTACTTTGGCCTATAAAAGAGAACGTACCGACTCTTGAAGATAGGAGCTAATAGCCAACAACACACTCATCACCATGGCTGAGAACGTGAAGGTCGATATTCGCAATGCTGATATGAGCCCCGAGATGCGAGACTCTGCCGCTAAGATAGCTGTTAGAGCCGCCTTGGAGTGCAAAGTGGAAAAAGACATGGCTGGGTTTGTGAAGAAGGAATTTGACAGAAGGTATGGTGAGACCTGGCACTGCATCGCGGGAAAGGACTATGGCAGGTAAGAATGAGCCGTTTAACAGCACGAGCTGAGTTCTGTTCCATTACATCTTACCACTATAATTCATAAATATCTGGCTGAAAGTTGCTTCATTCGTGCATAGTGTACAACACATTATTTAGCTGTGATCTGTTGACAATTTTAGAAAGCGTCTACCATCCAGTCTCGTATAGTCAGTCACAACGCCTTACCACAGCATTACAGATTCATCGTTTATCGAGCTTCATAACACATAATCCGACGTATATGACACTCGCTGAACTGCAAGTCGGATTTCGTGGCGTTTGAGCAGCCATAATGTCAGTTCGACCATAGATTTTGATTATGTACACCGTATGCTGGGAGGGTATTGGTGCAGGGACAATTACGAGCGTGCCATTTAGTTTTAAATGATAGGAGACTTGTGTGTCATCTACCGCAATCTACTCCCTCTGTCACCAACCTGAACCTTGGGTCAAGAGGCAATCAAGAAGACCGAGTTGGGATCGGGCGCAAGACTGCCCCTTCTATGCGTGTCCCCCACGCTGTGCATCATTTACTTTTCAGTGATAGTAGGCTTGCGCCGCATCTTTCGCACACAAAACCGGGTGTTTATAGCACTCCATGAACCATAAGTAGGGTTTACCGGCGTAGGCGCGGCCATACTAGAGGCGATCGGATAGTAGCAGTAGGTTGGAAATAGTTCAAAAGCTGTCATAATTTAGGTCTAGTAGACGAATGATGTTAGAGCTGCTTGGAGAGTGTTGCTCGGCCAAGTAAGCAGAATACTTGCATCCCTCAGAAGTTTACCGAGAAAATTTTCAAATTCATTAAACTTCTGCGTGGTTCTGTTGTAACCAACACTTCGTCACACTCCGACGCCTTGGACGACTGCTCTAACTTCCTTGAAATGTTCCTTTTTCTCCACTTTGCATGCTATAGTCCCAAGAACTTTAGCATGTGCTGCCTGGGCGAGTCAATCCGATGGTACAATGCGCAATAGTAGAAATATACCTATTTTAGAGAGACTTTTCTGATTAAATGTCAATCATTCTTTCTTTCTGCCACTCACTCGCTCGCTCTCTTCTGCCTTTCAGTAACGTGACGCATGAGAAGCATGCCTTTATCTACTTCTACGTGAACGAGATGGCATTCCTGTTGTTCAAAACCGCGTAGGTATTGACCTGTCCACATCTTATCGCACAAATACACTTTCTGCGCAGCTATTTCAGCAGCTGAGAGCTGATGCTTTGATCGAGTCTTCTTTGGGGTGGTTTCCTACGTATGGTGCAAATGGGGTAGGAAGTAATTCAGCGTACGTTTTCGTATAGAGTCACTACCGCCTTAACCTCTGTCGTCGATTTTCGTCTGTATACACCATTTTGCGTCTGCTGATGGAGCAGAACGGAAGACGGGCTGCGCCTGAAGTGATGTCTAGCGGCAGCCACAGCCTTGATGTCTTTGTGCAAACGGGTTGATGCCAACATACTAATAAGGCTAGTCTACTACCGCGGGCATCTTATTTGACGGATTGAGATCACGACGGTAAGCCAAGGTGTGCGCGTGCTCGCTAGCAATGAGGTGTGCGCGTCCATTTGCGCATAGCCTGAGCTACGCGGCAAACTGCCCTCGTGCGATGTCCTAGTATCTGAGTGACCTCGTCTGTGACGTCAGTTTTGAGGAGGGCGTCGGGCAGCATCGACCACTACATCGTCATCAAGGGAGGGTGATGAACTATTGTATAATCCTATTAACGAATGTAACAGGTAAGTAGACCTGGCAATGTCCCTTTCGTATGGTGCAAACCGGCTATGATGTCGTTCAGCGTACCTATTCTTATTCAACCACCGCCATCATCACCGCCAGCAACATCATTAGTACCACCATTAACACGACCACCAACAGAAGTGGCAGTCACACCTTTTCGAGACAGACGGGCGAGGTCATAAT